TTATCCTTATCCTTATCCTTATCCTTATCCTTATCCTTATCCTTATCCTTATCCTTATCCTTATCCTTATCCTTATCCTTATCCTTATCCTTAACCTCATCCTGTCTGTGCCTTCCTGATCTCCCTCTTAATGCCCTTATGGTCTTGATACTGTTCAAGAGATTCATTTGTGTCCAGTTGTCTGTATTCTAATATATGATTCTTTTTTGTTCTTGACTAGAACTCCATTGTTCTCTAATCCTACCAGCCTTACCTTTCACTCTAACAGGAACATAATAACTCTGAACTCTCTTGATCGCACTTTAAAAAGCCTCCCGTTTATTAGATTTCCCTTAACCTACGAACAGTCTACTCCAATCAATTTTTGCAAGTTCTTGTCGCATACCATTAAAATTTGCCTTACTCTAATTTTAAAAAATGAATTTTTTTATGGAAGGCTTATCCTTTTCCATAACTATTTTAAAACGAGTAGTAATATGACCACTAGGCCCAAAATGTTCCCCTACTATCACTTCAGTCACTTGCCCTATCTTATTACCCAAGACAAGGTCAAGTTTTGCTCCTTCTTTAGTCAGAACATTTACATATTGATAAAGAAAAGTTCCTTGAACATACTTAACAAATTCTTTACCATTCAAACCTTTATCAGTATGGCAGTCCCAGTCAATGTTTGAAAAATTAAAATCACCTGCTATTACAACCTTATTGTTATTGCAAATATCTGAGATATCTCTGCATAATTGTTCCTCGATTTCTCTTCGACTATTAGGGAGGGGCTTATAGTACAATGCCATCAATGTGATCATTACATTTTTATTTCTAATTTCAATCAATATATTTTCACTGACTGATTTTTCAGAAGTATTTGCTGTAGTTATAGCAGTAATGTTTTCCTTAATCAACAACACTACTCCCCCTCCCTTTTTGCCTCCCCTTCTATTCTTCCTATAGCATCTAAAACCCAGAACATTGAGCTGTTAATCCTGTCCACCCCCCAGCCAAGTTTCTGTAATAGTTAGGACGTCCCAATTCCATGTTCCCAAACACGCCATGAGTTCATCAACCTTACCTGTAAGACCCTTGCGTTGAAATAAATGCAGTTTGACAGGACAGCCCCCTATAGCAATTATTCTTTTAAATCTTGTCAAAACCCGCCTAACATAAGATTCATCCTTACTGCCCAAGATCTGACTGCCTCTTCTATTTTCTTCTGAAAGACTATCCTTTTCAACAGTACCCAAGACTGAGTATCTGTTTGAGAGAGGAATAGTCACAGGAGACTTCGGAACTACCCTCTTACCTTTCCTGACAGTTATCTGATTGATCCTGCTGTGTAATCCTTCTCTAAATCTACCAGCCATCTAACTCTGTGTCTGCTGCATGCCCTGATTGATATTAAGCCTAAAAGGAAAGAGTACAATTGCACCTTATATTTAAAATAAACTACCTTTACCTTACCCAAAGAATTAATATTAAGCATGAAAAATTTAAGAAATAAAAATCAAACACATAGATCTTAAATAAAATCATCCACTTAGCTGAACAATCAAATTGAGAAATGATGATGACTCAAATGGTCCAGCAGGCAGTTTTCAATCTGCTGATTTCAAAAAACTCTCACTCCAGAGCTGTCCACGTGTAGGCCCCTCCAAAAGGTCCATTAACAGAACTCCATTTGAAATGAAATTGTGCTTTTTTTAAAAAGTTTTTAACTATAAAAGAACCAAAAATGAATAAAAATTAAAAATTTTATGCTACTGAAATGTAATAATTGTAAGAAATGTTGAAGTATGATATGTGTAGGCTTTGCAAAAATTCTGTTAACTCTATTTGAAGAAAAGTTACTTGTTTTTTTTGACTATAAAAGAATCAAAAATGAATCAAAATAAAAATCTTATTACTGAAATGTAATAACGGTAAGAAGTCTAGAGACAGATCTAGAAATAAGTCTGTAATCTCAGGAGCAGCTGAGAGAATGAAAGAAAAAACAAACTTAAGAAAGTGAACAGGAGTCGACTATACAGCACTTCAAGCTTTCTTCACCATTCAGTACAATCGCCCCTGATCTTTGGATTCAATCTGCTTTTCTGCCCACTACATTGATTGTCTGAGAGACCAAAAACCTGTAACTCAGCCTTAATTAGGTTTAAAAATAGAACATCTGCAACCATCTGAAGAGAATTCTAAGCATTCACATGCTTTGAGTGAAGAAATTTCTCCTCGTCTCAGTCCTCAATGATTTGATTCCTTATTCTGAAACAACCTCATTAAGGAATAGTATCAACAAGTGATTCCGTAAGAAATTGTATTTATATAATGCTTTGAACATCTCAAAATACTTTACAGGAATTTCAACAAATAAAATTTAACATTATTGGTCAATTCCATTAAGCGATGAAGCACTGAGCCACAAAAATCAGGTAGCTCCCAGACTCGATCCCTAATGTTTGCTGTTATTGGTCAGGGTGATATTGGTCTTAGTGCCTGCACCTTGCAGATTGAAAGAGGAGGAACGTAGAAAGAGCAAAGGAAAAGCATGATACAGACCTTTCCTCATCCACCTCTTGATTCCATTCATTATTAGGCAAGGTGGAAACCCTAGCTGTATCTGTTTATGTAACCCATAAAGACTGACTCGTGACTTACGCTTATCAGGTATTGGATTTGTTTCAAAAAGTTAGCATGTTGAAAACTTGCCCATATATGTTTTATTTTGAAAACAGTCCCTAGAAATGATGCTAAATATGGAGCATACCTTTTTTTAAAAAAAACCTGAAGTACCTTGAGCCATTAGAAAGTGCAAATCATAATACAGTGCGCAGAACAGGCAAAGACATCTGTTGTGCTACATTAAATTTTTGAAACAAAGGACCTTTATAATCCACATCAATGACATTTGCATGCCTGTGTTTAATTTCTTCTCATGGTATTTCTGAACGATTTCCATTACATTCTCTATTAAACATCATCTTAAGGGTGTTGTTTGTAGATCTGCACACTTCAGCAATTGCAGTAGTAGCTGAGAATTTAGGAGCATTTCAGTAGCACGAATGTTTGCTTTGGGGAGTGGGTGGGTATGGAGTTGCGGTAAAAATTGTCTCAATAGTACAAAGTTGCAAAGATCTCAACAGTTCGTGGGTGGGTTAAAAACAATGGTCAATGGAGTTTGTTTTGAGCAACTCTGATGTCATCCACTTTGGATCAAAGAACGTTAGGATATTTTCTTGATGCATGACAAGAAGCAGAGAGATATTGATGTCTCTGCACAATTCACTAAAACCTAATGCACATGTACACAAAGTAACTAAGAATGCTAACAGAACATTGTTTTATTTTATTCTTGTGACGTGAGCATCACTGACTGGGCCAGCATTTATTGCCCATCCTACTTGCCCTGTGGAAGGTGGTGGTCAGCCATCTGGAACCACTACAGTTCTTGTGGTGTAGGTTTATTCACAACGCTATTAGGAAGTTGCAGGAGTTTGGCCTAGCAACAGTGAAAGAACAGCCGATACAGTTCTAGATTCTACATTGGAATAGTGTGTTTCTTGGAAGGGATCTTGCAGGTGGCAGTGTTCCTATGTATCTGCTGCCCTTGTCCTTCTAGAAGTCATGGATTTGCAAAGTTTCAGCTTTATTGCAAAACTTTAGAATGCAAAAATGAAGAAAGGATGCTTCAGTTGTGCACAGCTTTTTTTCAACTTTGTGTTTGAAATAATGCATTTGGGTACCAAACCTAAGGAATACTGTGTTACTTTTTGGAAGACCATCAAATTCTGAGTAGTGAACAAGGAAGTCTGAGTGTGTGGAATTTAACTGCAGGAACCTATCCATGCAGTTTGCTCTAATTCCGGGTCAGAGAGAAATCCATGGAAATTATTAATGCATGTGATGTGTTCTGGCCTTGTCAGGTTGAAAATATTGCATCATTGTATTCAGTGAATGTGTTTTTGTGAAGTTGTGGATAATTAATTTTTCCATTGAAACATATGTACTGTACAATTTGGCCTAAAGCTTGTCTGGTTTATCGTGGACTGAACTTTCTTTAAAGTAGCTCTGTATTTTTCAGCTTTTTTTTTTTAAACACAGGGAAGTGACATACAACCTTGTTTCAATTGTACGTATCTGAAGGGTGTTTTTTTTTCAAATAAAGCATCCCAAGGTGTCCTTTGTGTTTTCATGAGTACCATTCTGTTTCTCTTACAGCCGTCTGAAAAAGGAAAGTGACAAGCCACTTTAAATTCTGAACCATATGAAGGCTCACTCTGACTGACGAAGGTTACGCAACCAGTACTTTGGAAGGAGCTCTGACATCCTACAAGAATGACAAAAAGAGATCTTCCTAAAACGATTTCCAACCCCAACCCCTCACCCCACCAAAAGAGATCATATGATTTTATTTTGTAATATTCATCTGTGGAGGGGCTGGCTGTGGATCATTGCACGACATTGCATTTGATAATATGACAGTCAAAAATGCACGCTGAGCAGTGTTTCCAGCTGTTCTTGTTTTGGTACTAGACCGAGTATCAAACGGTCACTGCACAATGCAACCTAACTAAAACAAAACAGAAAAAGTCAACGGATTTGCATTCTGATTATAAGTACTATAGTACATTTTATTACTCCTTAAATAATATGTAGGATATCCTCACAATTTTAAAGAAAAGTCAAATCTATGGCATGGCTTTTGAGTTTGTAAATAAAGAAAATTAACCTTATAAGTAAAGGATTAGTTGTGGATTTCTAATTGGATAACAGATTGCAAAAGTTAAATGTTTTAAACAGCTTCAACTCCTTTAATTAAAGGAGAAGTTAGCTGTGTGGTAATGTTTCCTCTGAAATGGAGTGTTTTTTCTGTGTGTCTAGTAGCAGTGGCATGCATCAAAAGGTTGCAGGGATTGTGGTCCAGACAAATGTCAACATAGATTTTAATTAACATAAAAGAAGGCTACATAAATAGTATTCTACCATCACTGGGTTTGGGCATCCCATACCATGCTGGTCAACAATGCAGACTATTACTAGACTGATCTCTTGCCAACAGCATGAAAGAAATCTAGGCTCTCTGTTCTAATCATTAAAAATATTTTCAGTATCCAAAATATTTAAGAAACAGTTGAATCTTTTACCGGCGTTTTATAGTGATAATTTTATGATTTAATATTAAAAAAATTAGGAACAAATAAGCTACTTTTATATTTGCGTTTAACGTAACATCCAGCATTTTTGCTTTCATTAAATATGCATTAAAGTATTGCACATACCTGTGGCATCATGCTAATTTTCTGCTTGTCAACCTATTTTGTTATGTTGGGGATGGAGCTGACAACCCATAATTAAATATCAGATTCAAGGGCATTAATTTGTCACAAATCATATTCACAAAAATTAGGTAAAAAGTTTGGGAGTACTGGAAAATAGGACCAAAAGTACAAATTGAACTTCTGTCGTGATGTTTGATTGTGATCACGCACCTATCATTAGCGTGTCAATCAACAGAGGTTTGTTGTCAAGCATTTAAGCAGCTTGGGCCTCCACTGTAGAGGTACATTGTACTCAAGTATACTCCTCTCTCCCGATGAGAGAACTTTCAAAGAGGGGAGCTTGAGTTAGGACAAAGGCTTGTGCTTACTGGTGGACAAGTCCTTTTTATTTCTGAAATAAATGCTCTGAAAAGGTGTTGATTTAAAGAATAATGTTAGTCACTCAAAAAGATTCAGTTTTAAAGTCCCTTTTCTAGATATATATACTTCATAGTGGCTATTTTGGTTTTGGGCTCTTGATTACCTTGTGGAGATTTATATTCATTTTTACTCCAGTCCTTTACCGTGATACATTAGTATCTGATTTCGGCAGTGGGGGTATCTGAGATACTAGCAAACTGAACTGAAAACTTTTCAGTAAATAACATTAACTTTAGAGCAGGGGCTCACTGATCTTGCTCTTTTGTCAATCACATTTTTATATCTAAAACAACTAAAAATACCACTCTTAAAAAGGTTTTTGAAAGTTCAAACTTTACATTTTATCAAAGAAGCTATCACTTTGTTGTCAGAAGCTGAATGCAGAGAGTCTGGCTGATGTCTGCACTGGGTAACTGGTTTCCTGATGGTGCGTATTTGTCTTTCCCCTTGATTTTATCAAGGACTGTATATTTTCCATTGTAGACTGTTATGTGGTGTTCACTGTCATAGGACTGTGTTTAATTAAAAGAAAGAACTACATGGTGTGCTCACACCCTGGATAGTGACACAAAGGTTCAAGTTTTTATTTTGCTTTTGTGTTTACCGAAGTATAATGTTTAATGTTGTCAATGGTCCAGCTTCTTATTTCACTGCAGCATTAGCAGAATGTACATTCTGATGCTAAATTTATATATATCTTGAAGCTTAATGTATATAATAGTAGTTTGCCATGGGATAACACAATGTAAACAAAAAGTAGAAGCAAAGATTGTGAGTCCTGTGTTTTCTCCATTTGAGTATTTTGTAATTTTTGAAATATTTGTGACTTAAATAAACCAGACAGAGCTGCAATGTTGATGTTTTCATTTAGCTACAAAACTAGTTGTCAGAGTGCCAGCTGACTTCTCATTATTGGTTTCCAATGTGCTGATGTTTGCACTGGTTAAAATGGTTAGTTTCTTTTATGTGTATAAAGATAAATAGGTAGGTTACCTTGGAGATAGTAGGAACTGCAGATGCTGGAGAATCCAAGACAACAAGGTGCAGGGCTGGATGAACACAGCAGGCCAAGCAGCATCATAGGAGCAGAGAGGCTGACGTTTCGGGCCTAGACCCTTCATCAGAAAAGGGGGAGGGGAAGGGGGTT